GTAAGATTTGGTCACGTGACGGGATGTTCTTACGGGTGACGAGTGGCAGGAGTGGATCACGGCATATACGGTAGGTGAGTGGCTGGTAGTGGGCTTCTTTCCAAACAGGAACTTCGGAAGGTGACAGTTTGAGCATTCTGGGGAGGGGGCGAGTGATAAGTTCATGTCATAAATAAATAAAAGGTAGGAAAGATCAAGAGGAATAAAATAACCAGACATGAAATGGCAAAGTGAAATCTTAGAAAGCAGTATTACCTTGGTCAAAGTGCGCCATCAGGAAGGTGCCCTCACTCGCTGGACCAACAGGAAGAACAGGCAGTTTGATGGTGGTCGACCCTTCCTTCACACTCATTGGCGGGGCAGTACTCAGGGGGCTTAAAATGGAAGAAAGTTACTTGCTTTTACATATGTTAAGGTGCATTATTAATTTCTTTTAGTAGCAAACTCTCCTTGACTTTTCCTATAATATAGTTAAGACTTCACACCAAATAACCATTAAAATCTTAATATACTGATCATATTCACAACTTCGAGCTCCATTTATGTAGACAAAAGGTAGCTAGATTGTCATTTTACCTATTGAATCCAAAAATGAAATGGAAATGTTCTGACGGATGTTAACGGTAAGGAACTCTTTGTTACCTTAAATAAAAGAGGCAAATTTTGGTTTCACTATCAAGTAAATTATACAAATAATACATGTATTTCTGACGAAGATATAATCGAAACCGGTCAAATAGATATCTTGTATTTTAAAGATATTCATTCTTATTCATAACTTTTCTACATCTATCTAGCTATATCTATATCTGGCTAAATGTGATGACGTCATTAGCCCCACTCACTTTTTGACACAGTTTCACGGTAGTGTTTCTCTTTTTCATTTCCTTTGAAAATGTTTCAGTAATAACAATGGTAAAAAAAAAAATAATAATAATTAATATACAATGAATAAAGGCAAAGAACCGGGGCATAGCTCTCAAGTCGCCTATTAAACTTTCATCCAGACAGGATAGGGCTACCTGTGTTAAAGTACCTTGCTTAAACTAAATTATAACAAAGGAAGACCTTACTTGGGGGTGACGTGGCTGAGAAACGATTGAACATCGCTTGGGTAGAAA